CCTGCTTGACATACATTTATTTGACCTTCACCTTACTCAGTTTTCAATCTTGGATTTGCACAACTAACAGACATGTAAACACTGATTTAATCCTTCTTATCTCGTTCTTTAATTTGTCAAGTGTAGCAGAACAACACTCTGACTACATAAATATTAAACAGCCTTGGTTCTTGTCAACATTTGGAATTCCTAAGTCCTTACCGTTCCTTTTATTATTCTTCATCAATGAAATATCTTCCTCTCAGTTTACTAGTATATGTAGATTGCACTTATTTGCATACTTCCTGTTCTTATTTGAGAAAAAGACTACAAAATACCGTGAATCCTTCAGATTCTGCTCAACATGTTTTTCTTGCTTCGCTAAAACTTGTGAAAGGGACCAAATATATGAATAACAAAACTGATAATTTCACTCTTATAGAATCTGCTTGTTCCTGAGCATAGTTTAATGGAAAAAACGATACTCTTTGCAGTAACTATTTTCTCACGTTCCATTGTTATATATCCATACTGTTTAACAGAAAAATAACTTTGCGTTAATAATAGTCAGATAACTGATAACCATCCGTTGATAATATTACAGTTTGGAAATTGTGTTCAGAAAAATGTTTTATAAAAAGTGAGTTCGGAATCAGATATTACTGAAATTCAGTTCAAAGTAATAAATCATACAGATGATGATTTGTGTAACACCAAGATGTTGAAATTACTAGTTTCTGATAGTTCGTATTCAAAGTAAATGATCATAAATAAAATTGAATTCAATAGTACTAAATGACTGTAACTAAGTGATAAAATGAATACTCTTCGCTTTGATAAGGACATTCATATGAATAAAAATGCGTGTAAGCAGATAGGAAATGTCGTATAATAAAGTGTTTATGTCTGAATACAGAATAAGATAAGCAACGATACTGTGATTAACATAACTGGCACAAGTGTATTGTGACAAAGGTAATGAATCCTACAAAATTTGGGATTACTAGGAAGGTATGAGGGACTGTGTACAATATATGGTTTGGAAGTTAACAGTTCAAGCGGCTGATGCAACATGGGGCTTAAGAATTTGTCAACTGATAGTAATAACAATAATAATGGCATCCGTTTCTTGAGTGTGAATGACTTGGAGTGCTGAAGTCAGTTGGCTATAATGTCTCTGTTTAGAGCACACACCAATACAACTAGGGTTTACCACTAGACGCATATGTTGTCCTGTTTCCAGGACCCACTTTTTACTAGAACTTAAACAAAGGTCTGCGCTAGAAGTAACTCATGATCAAATCACTCGTTTGAGACTAAGCAGTGATTACTATCCGTCTTCTTCCAGTTTGATCTCAACATAAATTGTGAATTTAAAATATGCATATTTGAATTCATATGACGCCAGAAATATCCTTTTACTGGTTAAACTGATTGTTGTTGCTGTCTTAACGTTTACGCCTGACATCCCCATTGGTTTCTTCAAGTCTAAGGGGGGAAGCTTTTTAATCGAATTCGGTGAGATGTGGTCTGCTTGACACCACGATTGACGTCAGGATTACAAGCGTAAAAAGTGTGCCAAATATACTACTGACTGGTATGAGTAGTTGCAGACCACTCATACTGATCAACAGGACTTTAGGTACGACTAACTACTTCAAATAGCTGGGCAGAATTTGGCTATCTGAGCTAAATCAACCTGGGCACACCGCTGATGAACGCACCCGAAATGAGTGAAACATCTGTCGGGTACTTAAAACACCTCAGTCCAGCGAACGAGGACTGGTGATCAGCGTAAGTGACCTAAAGTTGCTCACATCAATGAGTCATGTATTTCTCACAGTGATATTTTAAAATTTATTCCTGGCACTATAACTGCCAAGGATACATACATACATGCATCCATCCACGGATATATACATCTATCTGTCCATCCAACCATCCATCCATCCATCCATCCACATATACATACATACATACATACATACATACATACATACATACATACATACATACATACATACATACATACATACATACATACATACATACATGCATACATACATACATACATACATACATACATACATACATACATACATACATACATACATCATACATACATACATACATACATACATATATACATACACTGATAACTATCCAGTCAGATATTTTTAAAATATTAATTGAAAATATTCCACTGGATGCCTATTATGAAACTGCCAATTACAGGGCTGTTTTGTTTTACTTTTACGTTGATCATTAGCACAACGCACTACTACGTGTAAGACTGATTAGAAAACCAGGAGGTTTCATGGTGAAGTTTTTAATCCCAAAATTTTTTGACTGATGTTAATTAAAAGCAACATCTACTTTCAAATCAGCAACACTACTTATTTTCTTTTGCAGTCTGGTTCTGAAGAAAATGTCAATGTTTGGACAGAAAATTTTAATCGGAAAAGTCAATCAAACCGAAAGTTAGGGCTAATGGTCAAAGTGACATTGGCTCATAGCCACGCTGTATTAGGAACTCACAGAAGATGGAGAGTTAAAGCAATAGACTATTCTCATTTCAGATATTAATTTATGTAGATTCCACTTATCTCTACACATTGTAATGAATCGGGGCAAATCATATCTGAAATTTAATAGGTATGATGGAAAAGCTTTCAAACCTCAAGAAAGACAATTCAGAAATTCCTCAAAATACATTATAATGTCATGTTAATGGTGGATCTTAAATTAGGGTTGTTCAGTGTATTTAATGAGTTGAGAAAGAAATATCGTACGATGGAGAAGTAGGACATTTCATTCATGAAACTTGACAAGGAGTATGAATGTAAAATTTTGATATTCATTTAAACCCAGATGATGACAGAACCGTGAAATATAAGATGTTGAAAGTCAGAAGCAGTAGCGCTACTGAACATTTCACCTTCAATCATCATCCAGTTTCAGTGAAAAAAGAATATTTCCCGCACATATTTAACTTATAATCTATTTTAGGTTAACACAGTATACATCTCATTCATTTTATTGCATACATGTACGCAAGTCGAGATTCATAAATCTCCTAGTTTAGACATTCGTCGGTTCTGAGAATCATGTGACAGCTATTCTGAGTTACTTGGGTGCTGTCGAGAATATGAAACTCATTTTCAAGGCCAAGCTAAGAATTCGCAGCTTTAAAATACATGTATTCCAAATATCTTACGTTGTAAAATTCGGCAAACTTTCCCTGATACAATTTCAAATGGATATCTAGTAGAAACATAATAAGCTGGTGACGTAACAGTATTATGTCGACTGCACATTTATAACTCCCACTCATAAAGTTCTTTTTATGAGCAGCGATATCATCTGACAATTACTAGTTAGTGGTTTTCATTTCGCTCATTTTGTCTAACTAGATGGAGACCAGATTTGTTGTCTTAAATATAGGCGCATTAATTCTACATATTTTTAAATCTCTTGTTTTATGAATTACAATTTTGCATCCATTCAGATCCCCAATATTCAGTTTCCAAACGACAGTAAGCAAACAGTCAACAATCTTAGTCTGATCACGATAGTATGTTATTGGTGTGATGATTGGACAGCCTAGCCTATATGAGACAAAGATAATTAAGTGTGAGAGATATAAAGACCACTCTGGGAACTAATAAATTAACACTTAAGTTTGTAATGGAGAAAACATCAATATATGCATATGCAACACAGAAGCTTTATTGGTAATCTCAGTTTTTGGTAAAATGGCATTTAAAGTTGCTCTAAAAGTAATTTTCGTAGGTTTCCCATGACCTCACATATAACAAAAAACTTGTTCCAACTCAATGACCAAGAGCGCGCAATCGTCACGGTCAGTAAATCATTCTATTAAGTTTCCCACTTTTTGAACGTATCTCTGAAATTATTGGGACTATTGCTATCAACTAAATATTCTCTATTGAACTGTATATCGTAAAACTTTAAAAACTTTTCTAGTAAGCGAGGATCTAATAAATGAGTTTGTATCAAATAATGTTAGAATCACTTAAACTTCTCACTGTGGTTGCTTCCTTATTATATATTCACGTTCAGGCTTTCTTATTCATTCATTACACACATTAGTAAGATGTAATGCCTTATGAACATTGAGACATCTGTCTACTTGATAACATCCGAAATTTCCATTTTTAGAATTAAAAAAAGGCATATAAAAATAGAGAATTGCTTTCAGTTGCAGTTTCCACAGGATTGAATCTGATATAAATATAGTACAGGAATTCCATTCAGTGAAACACATGATTAAGTCACACTTGTCATATGACTTGTTATGTTATGATACTAATCGGCTACCCAGTCCGGTGCAAAGTGTGTTGGATTCGAACTGGAGATGCGCTGCTTGAAAGCAGAATCTTAACATCAATGAGCTATTACCTACATAGAAAACCAGTTCAGCCAATTCTGTATAGAAAGCTACATTAGACATATTGCGTGACACCCTAACGGAGATTATACTGAACACCTACCATTATGACCAAAAGAATGGCATACAAAATGATTACGACCCTCAGTCTTTTCATATTCCTTAAATTCCTCCCACAAAGTTAGCAAGAGCGAACCAGTGACGACAATTTATCGCGTATCACCGGACACTTAGTGATGTTCTAGAAAAGTGCAAAGTACTTTACCTTTCTAACAAGGAGACCTTACTGCGGTCATTCCCTGTACCTTTGATTTGAAAAAACAAATCATCGACGTTATCTCTTAGACTTTCTAACCTTTTCTCATTTTCCATAGGTTTTATTGAGTGGTTAGAGTTTGCTTATCCACTTGCTGTATAATGCAACTTGTGTTGCTAGTCCGATTGCTGACATTTCTGTATTGAAATACTCTCAGCATTTTTATGATAACTTTTCCTCCCATTTGAATTGAAAGTTCTCTCATTGCATCCCAATAAATCTTTTTGGGTACCTGCATATACATATATGTTTGGGAATATTACCAAGTAGGTATAAAGTTTGACTCTATCTCACCTTTAATCTCTTACAGTATCCTTCTTTAATCATTTCTTCGTGTTCGTCCTTCGGTGTGATAAGCAGTGCTGTCTTCCAGTAGCAAGTTTTTGCACGTTTTCTTACGAACCAATATTGCAAGATCATATTTAAGGGTATAGGTAAGACTCCGGCAAGAATTACAAACCAGCTGGCAGTCTGAAAAGCAGTAAAAAAGGTGGAATTGTCTGCCAATGAAGAAAAGAATGTTCGTCTATTGAGAAATACACAGAGGATAAAAATTAGGTGGAACTGTAGTAATAGCCTCTAGTTTACACATAAGAATAAACTTTCGTAAAAAGGGAATAGTTTTCACCTTTCTGAAAAAAATGATTCTTGGTAGCACTTGCATAGTCATCGCACAGGGAATAAACGATCTTACGATGTTGTTCTAAACTAGCAATAATAAGGTTTATCATAATTTTGGTACGAAAACATCATTAAAAAGAAAAGGCTGATAATTGAGGCTGACCATTGTTAAAATGACTTTAAGTACCATTGGGATTCTACTGTCTCACAAAATGGCTTCCCTAATTAAGCTTTCTAGTGAAAATTACTCAGAGATCTAGAATAGATGTGCAGAGTTTTAAGCAATGCAACTTCTGCTTGATAAGTGCCGTTCTAATTCCATTGGCCAAGTGTGAGATATGGTCAACTCCCTGAGTGTGAAGTTTAAATCTTTTGGGTCAGATATTTGGCTGCAGTCAAGAATAAGGTGTTTGCCGTAGGTTCTGTGCCGCTTGACACTCATTAAAACAGTATATCTGAATGTGACAGAAAAATCATTTCCCCTTTGTCAATGACTGTGGAAATAGGAGGATTTAAGGTTGAGCTTTTCAGGCTTCTACTGACACATTCCGAAGTCGATTACACACACAAATTGGTAACTTAGGTAAAATGTATCGTGGTATGCCACCACTCACTGAACTTGAATGCCGTATTGACTGCTTGCTTTGTAGATGTCGTAAAGCACCTGTTGTCATAAGTGACCAGTTCGTTGTTATTCTTCAATGCACTTTTGCTTTGGTGTTAAGCTTTGGGAAGTCGAACAGAATTACTATCTAAACTTTCACTATTTTTGGAAAATCTGTTTCAGTTCTCTTTCAGTCAGCAGTTCTTACATTAAATAGCTGAGTATTTGAGTTTGCAAGCACAGTTCAGAGACCGAAACAATAACTATGGTGAAGCACTTTACTCGTGAATTGTCAATGAAACTGTAAAATATAGCAATGTGGCAGAATGAAGTTGGCAACATAGTAGAACCTTGTTTTATTTAGCTTGCTTACCTAACGTAGAACATGATAGAATTTGTTGTTCCACTGTGTACTACATTGAACCAACTTACAAGTAAGTTCATTTTATAAATTTCAGGATCAAATTTAACCTGATAGAGTTGAATAAGTTGAACATTGGGTAAATGGGTTATAAATGAAATATACTGTAAAATTCCAGCGAAGTAGAAAAATAAATTTCTGATGTTTCATGACTTCGTGGAAGTCGCTTCTTCCAAAAATTCTGAGTAAGTTCATCGTTTTTGTAACCTGTTACACAATTTCTCATATCTAAGGAAACAGTCCTTTTTACAGAAATAAACTTTGATAACTTTTGGATTCCATTCACTTTATGCATAAGACGATATAAACTAAGGCTGATTTCAACACTGGCTTCTGATAGCATTCCAGCTGATGATCTAGATTTCTGTCTTCACACTGAAGGGTTTCATTACAATATTAAAGTTTTGTTAACCAGCATAAGGTAATTAAATTGTTTCAACTTTTTACACTTCGTCACAATAGCCTTTTTGTCAGTGTTACTTAATCTTTATGAAAAAATAGACTGAATCAATGGAATAATTACCCTGTTGATCATTAAAGTATCTAAAAGCGGCAACCAAAGCTACTTCAGAGAGTGTAATTACTAAATGATAATTTATTCTTTAAGATAGAAAAAAATTGCCTAAAAGTCTAATTTTATATTATATATGATGTCATCTGGTTTATCATATTACTGAGGAATTATTTGCGTAACAGAATTCTTGACTACAATGAGTTTGTTGACAGACTAATTGAAAACGTGATGTTGGCAGGGATTCCAATCGGCTATGAATAACTTTTGAAAAAATATTATTATAGGCGTCATCAGTAATTGTACTTCATCAAAATGATTCTCAGTGATAATATGAAATGAATGAAAAATTGTAAAATTATGCGTCTGGGTTGAACAGATTAGAAGGCTCTAAAATTGACACTGAGGGAATGTGCGATAGTGCATATCAGTTATATTTACTGCTTGAATAAGTAATATTCATGCTTTAACTGTTAATTATGAAAATTTTAAAGAGAAAGATCAGACAAAACGTATTTATTAATGTTATTTTCGTTTAATTAGCTTCTGGTGGTCATTCAGGTCTTGAATATACTGATTTAGAGACATAATTATCATTGTTGTTATCCACTGTGATCTCCTTGGGTCTGAATAGAGTTGTTAGGGAAGGTATGGACTAGTCCCCCTATATTCTATTAAATGTGTTGTAGTGTAATTTTGTGTTACACACGTTTATTTTATTTAGCACCCATTGCCACAGTATTGTTCACTGAATCGTGTCTCGAACGCAGTTTATTACTGGTGATCATATCGAGGTGATCGCATTATAATAATAATTATTATTATTTGTCCCTTGAGTTCCTAGTGGAACATAAGGCTTCAGTGGTACATCTCCAATATGCTCTGTTCTCTGAAATCTTTGCAACCTGACTCTATGACAGCCCACAACATCTCATTTCCACCCCCCACCATCTCCGCCATGTCACACTACACTAACACATAGGTTTACAATTTAATCAAATCACCAATCACGTGGTCATGTTTCAGAAATAATGATGCAAATAATCAATAGAGTTACTAAAATTGGAAACATGAATATTGATAGAAACAAGAAGGGGAAGAGGTGTACAAAGTAAACCTAGAAGTTACATCATGTTGACGGTAACGGTAATGAAAGTGGTTGAACAAACTTCGTTTGAATACAAAGGTTGGGTGATTTACGATCACCTCTGGTGTGTGAAATGAGTGAGTGCATAATCCATGTGGTAAATCAATTGGAATATGATGAATAATTTTGAAAGCTTTTCCAGTATCTACTTGATATCCCGTGTCAACTAGGTGTGCAAGTATGGAGCTCTTTATAGTTCTAATTTGTCCCTTGTTCAAGCATGATGCGTGGTGCTCAGAAATTCGACGATGAACCTACCTGATTGTACCCAACGTAACTAGCTAGCTCCAGTGGAGCAGCTGAATTGATAAATGCACATGGAAGTGTCGGAATCAGGCAGTTTGTCTTTATTCCTTGCACCTAGAATCGGGTGGTTGTGGAAGATGGGATATAATTTAGCTGCTGGGAATGCATTATGCAAGACTCGTTTTATGCGTTGTGTGATGATCTCACTGGCGATGTTACTCTTAAATTGCAGTTTCAAGAAGACTTGCTTCTTAGGAAGTGTTGGCATTGTTGTCTTAACCCTCGTAATATTCATGTGCTTAGTTACAAACTTGTCTGGATAGCCATTCCTACTGAGGAGATCACGGATGGTGGCTCACTCTTCCTTTATAACATCCTCTGAGCAAATAGCTGATGTGCTCCTCTGACGAAGCCTGAGACAATTGCCTTGAAATCTTATGTAATCTGTCGTCTTTTCCTAAATTCAGTCAGTCAATAATCATTTTCTACGAAGTAGTCCAGAAAGGTCTATGGCTTTATTCAGATTTCTTATATTGAGTATGTCTTTATTATAGTGTGAAGCAAGTATTGATATTCCGTTGTTAGCAGTAACTCATTCACACAAAATGTTGTGTGTTCATACTACTATTCATTAAACAATCGAACCATCAGTAGAACTTTTGTGACTACCGTCAATATGGATCACGAAATGTGTTTACTTGCTGTTTTGAAAAGTTATAAATCTTCATCAATTACGTTCAAGTTAAACTGCAATATACATGACCTCTGTGTGTTTTATATGACAGTGACCTTATTTATCAACTGTGAAGTGGTAGAAATTCACAACTAGGTTTATTTTCCCACAGAAAATACTTTAATTTGATGATTTCCCTATTCAGTACACATGAAGAACTCCATCTTTTGAGGCGAGGATAGATATTTAGTTACAAACAAGTCACTGTAATGATTAACAAGGGAAAATGCTCCTATATTTCAACAACGTCACCACAACCAGATGTTTGCCAACTCTGTTGATTGTTACGTGCATGTGAGCTGCTAATTTCTCATTTTGGTGATAATTAATTACTATATACAACTTCCTCTGAAGTGTTGAGTTAAGAGCTCATCTTGATGAAACGCATAAATAAACACGTATAAAGATATCAGCTACAAATATTAGTATAGGAAGCAGTCAAATCAGAAGTAAACAGCTTAAATCCCTGCTGACTAGGATTGCATTTATAACCTTTTCTTTTATATCTGTGCTGCTGTGTGGCTACTGGAACCTTAAGGAATGAGGTGAACTTCCAGTGAACTGACCAATGTAACTAAATTAGTCTTTCTCATACGACATTTTAAGATACATGAAAATAGTATATACATGATATATTTCTGTCTACATTTTCATGGCTCAATGAAGCATGAGCTAAGATGATTATTATTTGTCTCTTGGGTTCCTAATGGAACATACCGCTTCAGTAGCACGTCTCCATTCCACTCTCTTCTCTGAAATCTTCGCAACCTGACTCCACGATGGCCCACAACCTCTCATTTTCTCCTCGCACGATCTCCTACATGTCACCCTCACCTCAAACACCCAACTCGTCGCTTCCCATCTGGCTTCCACTCGAGGACCTGGCCTGTCGCGTCATGTCCCCAGTCGGCCTTCTCGGTGTATGTCTATCCCAATCCATCTCCACTTCCACTTTCTTCTGCATATTTGTTCACCGATAACTTCTTGGTTGGTTCATTGCCAGCCACAGTTCATCGTTGCTTATTCTTATTATTCTGGCCATCTGAGCCTCAGTAATGAGCCAGCACAGGCAGTTGGTGATGAATGTATGTAGTTTGTTAGAAATCCCTTTCGTAACGCACCAAGTCTCTCAACCATCACACAGAAGCATCGACTTGACTCACGTTGGTGTTGAAAATCCGAATGTTGTTCACGCTTCATGCTGGCTGAGTGCAGAAGATCTCCACACTGGTCTCAGGTTAATCAACGCCTGTCTTGCTGTCTTTTCGATCCTGACTGGCTTTGACATTGTCGTTTGTGCCGCCACCTGTAGTTGACACTGTGCTTCCTAGATAGGTGGAAGAGTCTACTTCACTTAAGTTTCTCCCGTTGATAGTGATTGGAGTTTGTCGTTGTTGTTGTCGTTGTTGTTGTTGATTGGGTATCTTCATCACCTCTGTCTTCTCTATATTCACTTGAAGTCCCGTCTTCCTTCACTGCCCTGCCTCTTCTGACAACTTGTTAGTTATCACCTGTACATCTTCAAGTTTGTGTGACATCAGACACAAGTCATCGTTGGCGAAATCCAAGTCTTCTAGGTTATTTTCCGTGGTCCAGCGTATCCCCATCTTCTCACGGCTCCTCACTGTTTGTTGCATGATCCAGTCGACCACAATCACGAATATCATGGGGATAGTAGGCAGCCTTGTTTCATTCCTTCCCGTCTCTACTTCAAAAGTATCACTGAGCTTCCCATTGTGAATTACTTGGCATGTGGCGTCTTCATATAGTTGTTGAATGAGATTGATAAAGTTTGTGGTATTCCGTAGTGTTGAGGTAGTTGCCAAATTACTTGTCGGTCGACGTTGTCAAGGGCCTTCTCAAAGTCGATGAAGTTGAGGTGAGGTGTAGAGTTGACTGCCATTCTATACTCTTTTATATGATGATGTGAAGCGCAGCGTTTCACTTTGGTCCGCACATGATTTGTACTTGCTGAATCCAGCCAGCCAGCCAATTAGCCTGTTCTGGTAGAAGTTTTGAATCCGATGTATCCTCTAGTCTCTCCAGGATGATGAGGAATAATATTATGCTTGGGGTGGACAGGAGAGTGATTCCTCGCCAGTTCATGCAAACATTGAGGTCTCCCTTCTTCAGCAGTTTGACAAGGTAGCCCTACTTCCAATCCACCAGCAGGTACCTTCCCTTCCTTCCACACCTTCTGCAATAGTGGTGTGGTGTGAGCATGTCCGCTGTTGTCTCTGCGTCTCTTCTCAGTGAATCTGGTGGGATTCCATCTGGTCCAGCTGCTTTACCGCATTTCAGTAGCTTGTTGGCGTTGCATTCAGGACTTCCACTTTTGTCGGAGGATTCATGTTCACTTGTAGTTCTGTGTCTGGGCTGCAGGTGGTATTTCTGGATGAAGTGCAGGTGGTGGTGATGGTGATGGTGATGGTGGTGGTGGTGGTCGATTGAAGAGCTTCTTGAAGTGGTCAGTCGATCGTTTCCCTTCTTTCTCTCCTGTGGTAATTATATTTCCTCCATCATCTTTCATTGATTTCATCTGTGTTGATCTCTTCCCTCTCAGATAGTAACCTGGTTATTTGAAACAATGTTGTCAGGTCTCTGTCTCTCCTACCTGCAGCCTGCACTGCGTTCTGCTTCACTTGCCAGTGTGTCGTTGAAGTGTCCTTTCTCTTTGCGTGCACTCTTCTTCACTTCTTTGTCCAGTGTAGTGTTTTATACATTGCACTCAGTTCCCCTTGCCGTTGTGCATCCTTGCACTGCACTGGTTCATCTTCTGCTTCACCATCACCATCAACATCACCATCATCATCACCATCACCATCTTCCTCTCCATGCTCGCTCTATCAGCTTCCATGTATTCATCGATATCTATTCATTGTCTTCTCTTGTCTTGTCTTGTCTTGTCTGTTTCTTCTTCCTCCTTTATACGGTTGTGCAGGTTTCTTTCCACATCTCTTTCAAAGACCTCCAGTCTTCTTCCACACAGGTTTCTTCAGGGATGCTGCTCGATATCTCCCATTTTGTCTTGATGGCTGGCTGCCGTGAAGATTTCCTTCCTAGTTTCGTCCTTCACTTTCTGTTCTGGCTATTGTACTCGAACTGTGGTCTATCACCAGCTTTCTTGAAGGTTTTAACTTGATTTGAAGGTTCCTTGTACTAGATAGTCAGTGAGTGAACCTACATCTTCTGCTCCTCTTGACCTTGTATCAAGTAGGCTGCGTCTCCACTTTCTTCACATTGAGATAAATTCGATCTGGTTTTTTGTATGGTGTGTCAATTCGCTGAAATCCCTTTCCCTTTGTGTATATCCTTGTGCTTGAACACACTGCCTCCAATCAACAAATCATTGAATGCGTAGATGTCTACAAACAATTCTCCATTCTCGCTCATCACCTCACCGAGCGCTTCTCGACCCATGGTTAGTTCTCCTCCTGTGTTATTCCCTCCCAGTTTGGCATTCATGTCACCCCACCATTGGAATTTTGATATCGCCAACTGGTTCGGGGTCTTCTCCAGTGTTGATTGCAGTTGTCTATGGAATCCCTCCTTCTTCTCTTGCTCTGCATTATTTGTAGGTGCGTGGTGTAGCATTGAATGATTGTGACCTTCCTTCCTTCCTTCTCAGTTGAATCTTGCTGTCATGACCCTGATCTTGGAGGAGATTGGTTCCCACCATATTAGAGAGAGAGAGAGAGCCTTCGATGCGCTTGCGGACATCATGATAGCCACTCGAAAACTCAGTGTGCTATTGGTTGTCGTCTGAGTGACAATATTGGAGAAGATTATTGATTCTCCAGTTGACAGTTTGGAGAGTCCACTCCCATTCCATCTGCTTTCGCAAATTCTAAGCACTCAATGTGATACCTTCTCATCTCTCTTGCCATCTGGGCAGCCTTGGTAGGTTCAAACATAGTGTGGACATTCCATGTCTCCATCCACACTTTCGCTTTCATCGAGAGGAGAGAAGACACATCGGCCCGGCCAATTGGCTTCCCGAAGGCTTTCACCAACTGGCGTCATTTCGCCTCTCCGATTGCAGCGAGGAATGATTTTGTTTTTATTATTTATATTTTGTTTGTGCTTTGAAGTTTGTTTAGTGGTTATATTTGTTTTACGGGGTGGGGTTGCTAGCCGTGTGTCCAATTTCCCTCTTTGTGAGGGCTTATGACTGCTAGTAACTAGTGTACTAGTTATGCAGGCATGGTTGAGGTGATCACAAAATCTCTTTAATTAGATTTTGCGATTCTCCCACTTCTCCGTCCTTGTTTGTGTTGCTAGTTAAATTTTTTATAAACCTTTGGAACTGGTGTTAAATCATCTTTATAGAATTCGGGTATGTTTTGATCAAAACATCCTACAGAAAAAATATTCTATCACCATGTGTTATAACAGAAAAATTAGTTTTGGCACATCCTGAACATTTTTTATTGTGTTTATAAACAGTTCCGAATCAATTTCTATTGTAATAGATTAGCTTAAAGGATATTAAAGTATGTACACTCACTATTTCAGAGACAATTCCTAAATCAAGCTGAAACTGGTCAATCAGATTCTGTTAGGCAGTGGAAACCCTCTGGAATTCATTCAGAAATGCCATCGAGGAAAAACAGAAGCAAACGTGAATATAGCGCCATAGAAAAGAAGTAAGTTTTTTTAGAAATTCGGAATCGAAATGTGATGATATAACAGAAAGAATGAACACATGAATTGAAAGTGACATATCCCCTCCCTAGCCAGCTGAGAAGGTATTATCATCGTTTTAAATAAAATGTTCGACCACTCAGTTAAAACTAGGCTACATATTGACCCTTTGTACTTTCGATTTCATTCTCCATTGTAAATATACGTGTGAAAGTAACTGCATTGGAAGAATAGAAGCATTTTTTACTCAAGCTACTGGGCGTGTACTGGGGAGTTTGAGCCTATGGATTATTTATCGCGTGGAGTTGATATATCAGAGGCTTTCTAAGTTGTCAGCAGACAGAAGACTTTAATAGCACTGCGATTCGCTGAAGCCAAAGACATGAAATAAATGTGAACAATCTGGGGTGTTCACCAGCAAACAATATTTATTCTCCCACTTGGTCAACAATGAATGCCTTTGCTGTGAAAAAATCTCACCACATTTTGCAAAATTCTTTAACTTATGACCTTCTGTTTTTTCTATCCTTTTGCAACTTAGAATTATTATTTGCAATCACTTTGGTAGAAATACTTTTAAAATCATCACTCTTCTTATTCCTGCCTATCTGACTCAATAATTCTGTTTACATAGCACTTAATACAGATTGTGGGAGCACCTCGAAATTTTATGTCAAAGATGTAACGCACCAAGGAGTATTTATTTTCAAGTCAGTCAGTAGGCTCATCGTCCATATAGCTAATTGCTTCAATAGATATTCATTCATTTTCTTACGAAGAACAATTCTATAAAAAGTATAAGTAATTAAGACTGAAATCGTGAAATTTCTACGCAATGGACTGGTTCCTGGTTTGAATATACAAGTAAACAGTAAATACTAATTTTAACTGATGAACACACTTTTCCTAGAAGTCTACTGTGAATTTTGAGGCTTATAAGACCAAATCGAATCACTAAATCAAATGACCACTTTATTCCATAGAAAACAACTTGGTTGGTATTATTACCATGAAATACTTAGTTTCTTTGCATTGAGGCAAAACGTGTGAAACTCTAGAGGTTTGTTAACCAAATTTCAGGCTAAAGAGGAAAGTAACCAATTCTCAGTTTGTATACAGGTGTCAACAGCTGCAGAGAAATTCACCTCCTATGGATTCACAAGAGTGATGTTCATGTTATGCGATGATTGTCATACTAAAATGATATCTATTATCACTAATAATTGCTAAAAGCTAATTTTCAAGTAATTAATGCAATAAATATGTATATATTCATGGAACTTACTAAAGACCAGTTCGGGAATCGATATAAATGTCCTCCAACAATAGTTTCCAAGTTATCTGCAGTTATAACATTGAATGCTAACATGAAGATAATCAATGGTGGTACGCAGAATTTTAAAATAAACCGCGTTGTAAAATGAATTCGTTTTCCAGTTAATTCTCCGAGGTTTTGAGACAAAGTATATATGCCTTTAGGGGAGAATATACATTGACAAATGATTAAATAACGACTGATTCAGTGGGAAAGTAATATTTGACAAATAAAAATAACAACTTTATACACTTTCCCAAAAACATTTAGCTTGGTCTTTTTATTAGAAATGTTACACACAGTGAGATGACAGCGTCATTCACGAGATAATATTTTGGACATCATTTATTGTCCATATTCATATCAGGTAAATCCACAACTTCCAGACAGAGTTTATATAGTTCTTATTTTTTCTTCTTCTCTGTGATGACAAGGGTAGTGGAATTTTCCATATCTGGGATAGGTACAGAATGATTTCTATTTTATGTATTTGGTGTTGATTCGATTAACAAGGATTCGATCATCAATCTCTCTCTCAACACAACTACGTTTTCAACAACGTCCCTCTATCTTACTCTATTGAGTGACTGTGTGCAACTACGTGGGGAGCTATAGCCGAACAGTTCTCTAAATTTCTCATTTTATTAGGACCTACTAATCCTGACCTAGCTAAGTTTTGTACTCTGCTATTCTAATCAACCCTGGTTGACTACTTTGACCTATGTATTTGACCTCGCAGTCATTGGAAGGGATATAGTAAAGCAGATAATTTTACTGAATTGCATCGATAGGATCTTCTAACCCACAAAGCTTGTTTCTAAGCGGGTTTGCTGGTTTAAATATCACTTTAATCACAGCCATACTGAGAATTCTCGGTAATGCTTCTGAGATGCCATCTGTGTGTGGAAACACAGCAAAAGCTTTGAATTCTCTCTTTACCCTATCACCATTATCACTACCATCATTACTACTATCAATCAAAATATTATTGATAACCGGTGTGTCACTACTACTGCTGCTGCTGCTTATATTTTTCTTTCGATTTCTTACGAATTAATTATAAATTTACGTGGATAGTTATTGAGATGCAAGGTATTCTTGTTTTCATATAATCTTTCAATCCAACAATGCTAGCTCACCTTTATCACTTTCCAAGTGATAGGCAAACTGAATTGCTTTCATTACTGAATGTGTGTCAAGAATGTAGCAGTTTTGTGATTTCAACACTGTAAATGTATCGTCTACATATTAGAACCATATCTTTGGAGTAGAAGTAAATTATTGAAAGGCCATCCATTTCCAACTAAGTCAGCTGTCTTACTACAGCTACAGAATTTTCTGTCCCATTAGATGTAAATTGCTGTTGTTTTTGACTAAAGTTTGTGATTATTAATTCTGTGTTTCCTCGATTCACTAAGTTATAGTTGAGCCTAGCTTTTAACTCTTCATTTATTTCTACATGTTTAAAACGTGTCATGTCACTACTACTACTACCAATACTGCATTTCAATTGTAGAGTATTTGCATGCACTTGACATTGATTCGATAAACAAAGATTCGGTTACCAAACTCTCCGTCCACCCACCCAACTAAGTCAGCTTTTAAAGCTGTTGTTCCACTACAACCTACTGTATGTATGCAATTGCATGAAGAGCTCTAACCAAGCTTTTCTCTAGATTTCTTCTCTTATTACGATTTACCAATCTTGATTTAGATAAGTTTCGTTCTCTGTTATTCTAATCGACCCTGGTCAATTGGAAATAATATTAGGAAAATTCGGAATATATAAACTCTGTTTCGAAGTTGTGGAAATACCTGATATGAATGTGGACAGTAAATTGTGTCAAAAACGTTATTCAGTAAATGCTACTGTTTCACTGTGTGATATTTCTAATAAGCAGACTAAAATGGAATTACAATCTAGCACAGTGCCTAAATTTTACTCCTATGAAAGTGAGTCTACGGAAAAATAATCCAACCCTGAATGTGGAAAGTTATTACAAAACATAAATTTGATCTTTTGATCTATTTACTGCCTGCAATGAGTTTCAGACGACTTTATGAGACTAATTTTCCTGTTAAAAAGAAGCTATAAGATTTCATGATAAATTTGTTTTCTATGCGGATTTACAAACGCATACTTAGAATGTCATATTTGAAAATTCAAAACTGAATCACCTTTTATATGAACACTATAACATCCTTTTTCAACGGGAATTAACTCAGACACTACGTCATAGACAAATTTTAGTCACTGCGGTTTATCTAACTGGTGTCATCAAATGAAAATCAATAAATTTTAGAAAATAAAATCTTCAAAAAGAAGACGACGCATCATATTTCAAAGATATTTTTTTTAAAATTGCTCAAGGAAATTAAACTGTCACTAAATGTTGAAGCGAATCTGAGATTATTTCTTGAAATGCCTTTAAAATGCTTTGCTAATATTTGTCTGATGATTATGTGTAAAATTTATGACACTGGTTATATTCACAGCACTGATGATAAGTCTGACTATGATGAAGCATTGCAACTAAGCCCCGTTGAAATAAAACATTATGCTTTTCACTTGGACATATAATAGGAATTTCGATCATTAAAACATGTAATGCTGTATGACATTGTAAATCATCGATAGGAAATGGTTACCAAAAGCAAATTTACAATGAAACTAAATAGGATTGTTTAAAAACCTTGGGCATTCTCAGTCAAGCCGGTAAAAAAACAACTATATGTTAGCTGCTTTGGGTACAGTGTTATACGGGAAAAGATTAAATAGTCAAAATGACAGGTTATTTGTAGTCATATGAAGATATTTACAACAAACAAAATCGTGATTTGCACAGTAGTATTTCATTTGAAATTTCTAGAAATGTGAAAAAGTCTTTTGCTTACAAAAAAATCAGTCTGTCTTACATATTACATATCTTACTACTTACTACTGTAATAGAGTATTCTATTGTGGCGGGATGACACTTTTGAGTTAGGTATTCCTTAACAAATTTCCATCTTGAGTTTTGTAAGACCAGTCGATTGTGAAAACCTAACTGACATCATTCAGTTACTCTGGCTATCTTATTTGACCTACTAAGTTACGTACAAATCCGGAACATTACACTATTGTTTCTTTTGGTATTTAAAGGGAAAAGCTTATCACCACTTGCTTTTATAAGGTTGAGTACCCGTTGGATACGATCACCTTTTAGTCCACTCTCTCCTATTTTTTATACGGCGAAATTGTTGATTTTTTCAAGTTTATCTTGTTACCGTTTAAGTAGTTGGCATTGTAATTGGTATTTCAGCTGATTTTATAAAGCATTGCCATTAAGAAATTTCATCAGCCTCTGATAAAAATTTTACAAATTGTTACAAAATAACGAACTTATTTCATGCTAGAAATGTATATGCCAGAAATGAGAATGACACTCAGTGAATGTTCACCAGTCTTAGCCTAGTAGTTAGTTGTTGTCATTTGCTCATTAGTCCATTGATATTCGTTTAACTTTTATACACTTATGATACACTTTTGTGGATTCACCAATAATGGAGAATTAGCAAGAAATGCCAGTGTTTGTAGACTAATGTAAGAGATCTCATTGTTTTGAAAGAATGACAGTAAGGACGGCAACAGCTAGTAAAAGCGCTTGCATAATGAATACCAATTCAACCTAACTTTCGATTGTCTATCTCTGTTATTTGTGAAATATCAAGACAAATTCGTTCAATCTAGTGTGACATTTACCAAGGACTACTTTTCTGTGTAAATAAGAAGATATTATGCAGTTGTTCTTCATTTGTGTTTTTACTTTATCCTGAAGTAACATTTTGATAAACAGGTTCATAAGACTGTAATGATTCAGTCTGTGTCAAAATATCAACCAGTACATGTCGAATGAATTGTTTTGTCAGCCTCTTGAATGACTATACGATCTTCTCAGGATAATGTTAGGTGTCTTTAAGACTACGTATTCTCAAATAAACACAGAAATGACAAATTGAATGAGTCAGGTTTTATTCTTAGAAATAATGAGTGAATTTAAATTGATGCCGACAATTTTCCGTAAATAAGCTTCATGTAACAAATTTTATGACTGAAAATGGAACTCTTAATTCCAAAATTTTACTTTATCAGTGAAAATTAATTTGTCTTATGATTTTAGCGCTTATTTTTCAAAATTACAAAACACTACTATTTATTGACTTACTTGTTATTCTTCTCTGTTTTATTGGATCGAATTGGTCAACCTCTGTTGGCAATATAGGCTCCTATGCAGATGCCTTGATATTGCCTGAATGTTAATTATGATGATTTTGTTGGTTATGACTAGGAGAACAATCCACGATGTGCCTTTCGTCCCACTTGGGACTCGTCAGCTGAATGTATTTGGACCTCAGTGAGTGACGTTGTTCCCAATGAGACTCGAACCTCGTAATCATCGCTTCAAACATGCGTCCTGAATTCTTCTGCTAGCCACAACCAACTAAGTTACAGGACAGTCTCCAAAAACTGATGTATATCAGCTGGTGCATTGACGATGAGTTATGTAGACGAATCTTGTCGTCTTTTTAATATGGTAATGTATACAAGGTCAGAAAAATAGTACCAAACTTATATCAATATCCAATTAATTCGCTTGTGCCTTGTTTATTGTTATTATAACCTTGCAGGTCATAGTTTTTACGAACTATAGTTATTATCATCACCCATCATCATAAATTAGATGAAGCAGCTTCTTTGTTGTTAAATGGATTACACTAAATGAAGTATTTCACCAAAATATTAGTAAAAACCACTTCATTACTGTATTTTTTAAAATTTGGCTCAGTGATATGATAAAATCGAACTTATTTCAGTTGATTTTAGTTTTAACAACTGAAATTCTCTTCATTGAGCTAAAAATTTTATAGCGTATTCAGATGTCTACAATTCAAAGTATGAACTCTTATTAGGAAGTCCTGTATCAGTCACCCTTCACCTGAACAGTATAACTTGACTTCAGTACTCAGTAAGACTTGTTCAGGTATCGGTGAAAATACAGGTTTTCTAAGTGATGTGTATATGCATGGGTGAAAAATGACGCAAATAAGACATAAAACCTAGGTCAACTGAATTTTAACACCGTAGGATGATATTACCAAATTGAGTATTAATGATTTTGTCTTGAATTCATATTCGAACTCATTTATTGAAAGCTGACATTCATAACGTAGTTGAAGTGTCATAAATTATTGTATATTTTTATCAGTTTATCGGTTATAATTCTTGTCCTTTATTGCTTCAGTGATTTTTCAAGTGATATGTTTGACTTGATTTCGAATTATTATTAGAAAGTGTCTTGCATATCAATTAACATTATTTGATTTATGTCATTCTTAGTCGTCTGCATTATTGCCTACAAAATACAGACAACTTAACATAGGTCACTTTCACTGTAGAATTTCGTTTATACTTTGACTTCTTTACGACTGGATGTACGATTTTTGTAAATGCTGGTTTACATCATATCACATACAGGAACGGAGCTTGCTCAAAGCTACCGAAATTAGATGATTGATTCATCTTAATGTTTTCACTGTCATGGAAAAAATTGGACTTGTTTCCTTGGAAGCAAAAGTTTATCCAGTACGAAAATAATGACCATTTTGCATTTATTTATTTTACAGTCCTATTGCTTTTCCATTTACACATCAAGATTTGATTTGGATAAAACAATCTTAAATTACTTCTGTTCCTTGATTACAAGCTCTGGTATTCGATGCTTCTTGAAACATAAGGATTCATTTCCTGATTTCGCATTAGTTGAATGTTCTTAGAATAGGCTTGAAGTACAGCTTTCCTAAAATAAGTCATTTGTAGCACGACAGTAGTCTTCACAAAGTTTCATGTATGTTTGAACAGTACATTGGTTAGTCGCTAAGAGGCAACCAAATTTATACTGTCTAGTCTTGAGTGCTAGTCAAATTCCATCGGCCATTTCTAAATATGACCAGTAGACTAAAAGGTTCATCATCACTATATATTTTAATGGATGTTAGTTGGCAGAAGGTGATCGGTAAAAAGGCCTGCTTGGTCTGGGTTTTGCTTGCTGGTGAACATGCAACCTCAAAGGAACTGATATCCCTTTGGGATTTGAAATAACATCATACAAGCTACTTTAACACTGAGCTATTCGGACTACCATCGACCTTCTATAGACAGAATGAAACTTCCATTGCCAATCACTGCATCTAATCCGCCACGAAATATGCTCAGCTACATTCCGGAAATGGTAATGTCACGCCGTAAAACTGCATGATATGGGTTCCAAGACACCAGTTCCATCGAGACTGTAGAAATGCCGTGATGATGAGTGCCGACCAGCACGAAACAGGTCAAATATGGTTTCCTGTCAACCTCCAACTAAAGAGCTGAATAATGTTATCTTTTTATTATTATTATTATATTATTAGTCCCTTGGGTTCCTAGTGGAACATAGGGCTTCAGTAGCACGCCTCCAGTGACCTCTGTTCTCTGAGATCTTTTGAACCTGGTTCCACGACAGCCCAGAAGCTCTCATTTCCTCCTCGCACGACCTCCTCCATGTCACCCTCGGACGTCCAACTCGTCGCTTCCCATGGGGATTCCACTCGAGGGCCTGACGCGTGATGTCCTCAGTCGGCCTTCTCAGTGCATGGCCAATCCATCTCCACTTCTTCCTGCATATTTGTTGCGTGATAGGTTCTTGGTTGGTTCGTTCCCAGAGTTCCTTGTTGCTTATTTTTTCTGGCCATCTGATCTTCAGCAGCGAGCGTAAGCAGTTGTTGATGAATGTCTGTAGTTTATTGGAAATGCCTTTCGTGACGCGCCAAGTCTCTGAGCCATACAAGAGCACTGACTTGACGTTGGTGTTGAAAATCCGTATCTTGTTCCGCATGCTGAGTGCAGAAGATCTCCACACTGGTTTCAGGCTAATGAACGCCTGTCTTGCTTTTCCGATTCTGACTTTGACGTCCTCGTCCGTCCCGCCTGTAGTTGAAACAGTGCTTCCTAGATAAGTGAAGGAGGTTACTTCCTTCAAGTTTCTCCCGTTGACGGTGATTGGAGTTTGTTGTTGTTGTTGATGGTGGTGGTGCGGTATCTTCATCACTTCTGTCTTCTCTATATTCACCTGAAGTCCCGTCTTAGCTGCCTCCTCTGTCAACTTGTTAGTTTTTGCCTGCAGATCTTCAAGTTTATGTGACATTAGGCATAAGTCATCGGCGAAATCCAAGTCTTCTAGGTTCTTTTCCGTCGTCCAGTGTATCCCCCTCTTCTCGCTGCCTACTGTTTGCTGCATGATCCAGTCCACCACAATAAGGAATATCATGGGGGATAGTAGGCAACCTTGTTTCACTCCTGTCTTCACTTCAAAGGCATCACTGAGCTTCCCATTGTGGATTACTTGGCATGTGGCATCTTCATATAGTTGTTGAATGAGGCGGATAAAGGTTTGCGGTACTCCGTAGTATTGAAGCAGTTTCCAAATTACTTCTCGGTCGACGCTGTCAAAGGCCTTCTCAAAGTCGATGAAGTTGAGGTAGAGAGCTGATTGCCATTCTACGCTCTGTTCTATGATGATACGAAGCGTTGCAATTTGGTCAGCACATGATTTGTACTTCCTGAAGCCTGCCTGTTCCGGTCGCAGTTTTGAATCCAGTGCGTCTTTAAGCCTCTCTAGGATGATGCGGCTTAATATTTTACTTGGGGTGGACAGGAGAGTGATTCCGCGCCAGTTCTTGCAAGCACTGAGGTCTCCCTTCTTCGGCAGTTTGACAAGGTAACCCTTCTTCCAATCGTCAGGTACCTTCTCTTCCTTCCACACCTTCTGCAATAGTGGTGTGTGTGAGCATGTCCGCTGTTGTCTCTGCATCTGTTCTCAGTGCTTCTGGCGGTATTCCATCTGGTCCTGCTGCTTTCCCGCATTTCAGTAGCTTTATGGCGTTCAGGACTTCCATTTTCGTTGGGGGATTTATGTTCACTTGTAATTCAGCGGCTGCAGGTGGTATTTCTGGACGAAGTGCAGGTGGTGGTCGATTCAAGAGCTTCTTGAAGTGGTCGGCCCATCGTTTCCTCTGTTTCTCTTCTTTTGTAATTAAATTTCCTTCTTCATCTTTTATTGGTTTCATCTGTGTTGGTCTCTTCCCTGATAGCAACCTGGTTATTTGATACAATGTCGTCAGGTCTCTCTCACTTACCTGCAGCCTGTTCTGCTTCACTTGCCAGTGTGTCGTAGAAGTGTCTTTTGTCTTTGCGTGCACTCTTCTTCACTTCTTTGTCCAGTGCAGTGTTTTATACATTGTGCTCAGTTCCTCTTGTCGTTGAGCATCCTTGCCTGTACTGGTTTATCTTCTGCTTCACCATCCTCCTCTCCTCTATCAGCTTCCAGGTATCCGTCGAGATCCATTCCTTGTCTTCTTTCTTCTTCCTTCCTAATACTGTTGTGCAGGTTTCTTTCCACATAGCTTTCAAAGACTTCCAGTGTTCTTCCACACAGGTTTCTTCAGGGATGTCCCTCGATATCTCCCATTTTGTCTTGATGGCTGGCTCGTGAAGATCTCCTTTGTAGTTTCATCCTTCAGTTTCCGAGTGTTGTACTTGAATTGAGGTCTATCACCAGCTTCCTTGAAGGCTTTTAACTTGATTTGGAAGGTTCCTTGCACTAGATAGTGGTCTGAACCTACATCTGCTCCTCTTCTTGACCTTGTGTTAAGTAGACTGCGTCTCCATTTTCTTGAGATTGAGATAAAGTCGATTTGATTTTTAGTGTGTCCATCTGGTGAAATCCATGTCGCTTTGTGGATATCCTTGTGCCTGAACACACTGCCTCCAATCACCAAATCGTTGAATGCACAGAATTCTGCAAACAATTCTCCATTCTCATTCATTTCACCTAGCGCCTCTCGACCCATGGTTAGTTCTCTTCCCGTGTTGTCCCCTCCCAGTTTGGCATTCATGTCACTCCGCCCATTAGAATTTTGATATCGCCAACTGACGTCTTGTCCAGTGTTGATTGAAGTTGTCTGTAGAATTCCTCCTTTTTCTCTTGCTCTGCATTATTTGTAGGTGCATAACATTGTATGATTGTGACCTTTCTTCCTTTTGAGTTGAATCTTGCTGTCATGATCCTGGAGGAGATTGGTTCCCACTGCATGAGAGCCTTCGATGCTCTTGAGGACATCATGATAGCCACTCCCTCAGTGTGCTCGTGGTTGGCGTCTGGGTGACCGGAGTAGATTATTGATTCTCCAGTTGACAGTTTGGAGAGTCCACTCCCATTCCATCTGCTTTCGCAAATCCCAAGCACTTCGATGTTATACCTTCTCATCTCCTTTGCAATCTGGGCTGCCTTACTGGGTTCAAACATCGTACGGACATTCCATGTCCCCACGTTTACTTTCGCTTTCATCGAGAGGAGAGAAGACACATCGGCCCAATTGGCTTCCCGAAGGCTTTCACCAACTGGCGTCATTTCGCCTCTCCGATTCCAGCGGGGAATAAGTTTGTTTTCATTTTTTATATTTTGTTTGTGCTTTGAAGTTTCTTTAGCGGTTAGATTTGTTTTACGGGGTAGGGTTGCTAGCCCTATGCCCAACCTTCCCTCTTTACCCGGGCTTAGGACCGGCTAGTAACTAGTAAACTAGTTAACCAGGCGAGGTTAATGTTATCTTTTACAAGGTTACAAATTTAATAAACAGTATCGTTAGATTGATAACATGTAATGCTGAATTAAGTATTGAGTAGATTGTACTATCTTTCCTTCATGTTAGTGAATTCTGTAACAAGGAGAACTAGAAGTTTCGAATGTCCTATTATTACTGTTATTATTATTATTATTGTTACTATTAGTCTGCACCTTACGGTCAAAAGGTCCATCAAAAAAGCTTGATGCTAAAAATACTATTAGTTGAAGGTTAAAGGCGGGTATTATTCAGCTTACCATAGACATAAACAATAGCAAAACATTGGAATAAGGATACAACTAGAAGTGATGTGCCACATGTGTACTGATCCAGATATTGCACTAAGTAGTATCCACCCTGTAGAAAGACGAGGAAAAAGTAAATAGAGTATTTACCTAGAATTAGGTTAGATTAGAATATTCATAGCAGAAAATTCGACATGGATAACGATAACCATAGTCTCATCGACTAACAATCTGTTTTTCCGTTATATCCTTGTAAATCGGATCCTAAAAAAAGCATTTTAGTTGTAAACGTCATCTTTGATTGGTGGTATGACCCTCCACTTCTGAACAATATGGCAGCAGGTAATTGGTACATAAGTTCATCACTCCAGCCTGTTTTGCAACAGTCTACTAGCGCCACTGTAAACAACTTTAAAAACTGCGTGGTGGTATGCTGAATGAAGTTGCATACCACCAGAAATCGTTTTATAATCGGCTAAATTCTCTCTTTTTCCAGGGACATTGTATACAATACTGAAGACACGAATTTCATAGTGTTTATTTGCTAAACTCAAATTTTTAAGTAAACTGCTTACTGAGTACTGTGCCTGTACTTGGTACACGTAATTAGATACACTGGTAGTGAACTCATTTTAAAAATGCCAAAATGTTACACAATTGTCAAACAGGCATTTCATACAGAATACATTACCTTTGAACTCATTTTTCAGGTATTTACCATTACTTGTTAATTACGATACGATAGAGTATGTCTGAGTATGATAACGACGAGATTATTATGATCGCGAACTCAATGATCAACAAATTATAATGAGGTAAGGTTTGGTTTCACTTCTGCTGCTGCTTCGTCTTCAGCTGTAGACATAGTCAACTATTTCCTTAGATTATATCTAAACATAACCATTCAACAGATAGTCATAATCATTACAGTTGAACTAGCTATTGCCTCAAATATGATAGTAAATATTTACAAAGTAATTAGTCATCTCTGCATCCTCGGCTTAATTTTTATTTTCAATGTTTTCAAAACCATTCAACAGATGTTCGTCAGTGTACCGTAAATAAAATCTCCTTTCATTCTGAACACACAAGAAACTACTGTTCTGAATTTAAGAGGCATAGCTGTAGTTACGAACTGAAACTTTTCATTCTGGATAATGTTAACATGTAGATAAATAAACAATACCCATCCTTCAGATATTTTATCACTCACTGTATCACTTGAGTAGTTTTGTAGTCTGTTTCGTAAAACAAAATGTCTTATTTATCAACCTCATTCAGACACCATGCAGAAATAACTAACTTGTGTTCATTCATTCAGAGTTTTAATGAAACAGACCTCAAAAAACAGCAGAGTGCTACCAGCAGAGCAAAGGTTTTCACTGAGTTAGCTACAATTCATGTAAAATCACTCCTCTTAACAAAACGTGTGTCGAGAGTCACTTGAGTTATGAATATGCTCTAATTAGCGGAAGAAATATTTGGCGAATTCCACTTAAAAAATTTAACGAAAGAAAATAGTGGTAGCTGTCGATGGTATACCACTCACCCTGTTATTCAAACTTATAGTTAGCGAGCTTAGACTTGGAAGTCTAAGACTAGAGATATTTTATTTTCATATACTTTTGTATCACTTCCACTTTGATAAAGTGGTTCAAAGTGGAAAGTGCTATTTTAGTGTGCAGTAATACTGTACAGATCTGTATAAGAGCCCTGAAATTCGTAAAGTCTGTCACAAACAATCGTAATGCTCCATTTTGAGAAGTACGTGAACCTACGTGTAAATATCAGATTGATTAGACAGTCAAAAGCAACAGAATATATTTTTGAAGAAGGGTCTAGAAGCAGTCAAAGCCATTGCAACTATATACAAACCGTAGTACTTTGTACATACTTGGACTTTGCAATTCACTTTCTATTATCCAATTATCTTTTCTATTTGCCAAGGAACTAAGCAATCATTAAGAGTTGGATCTAAAGTTCATTTTTCGATTATACAATCTAATTTACATGCATGCAAGTGATAAAGTAATCACTGTAGCACGCTTAACTGGTAGTTTGTCAAGAACGATTCAAAAGTAGTCTTCACCACAAACTGATATCATTTAGAGAAACACTGGAAATCTGGGAGCACTAAATAGCTGTTTTCCGCCCACAATGGCACTTTTCAACAGTTTGCACCCATAACTTCACTAAAGACTGAGCCCAGGACTGTCAAATCTCCCAGTCAAAAGGTCGCGTTTCGGTCACTGGGTTGGAACTCGATGGTCAAATATTTATTATTTATTATTTTTAAATTACTATCCGTTTACTCTTAGTGCTTTTCATTTACAGCTCTAAAAGATGTAGGATCAAAACAAAAACCGTAGTTGCACTAGGCTATTATGCTACAGTAGGTTTTAATCAGTATTTTGATATGATAGAAATTATTTTCAGCTTAGAATGACGATGGTGGATAAGTGTTCTTGGAGCTTTTATGTTTTTTCTTGGATGTTTCATTACCGGGCTTGGTGATTAATATCTAATACCAATGTGCAGCATATTTAGACATTAGCTTGCCACTTTAGGCATCTGTATTTGTTTCTAACTGTCAAATGCTATTTCTTTTGCTTAAAACTGAGGCTAAGGTTGCTCTTAAATTCTGTCGGTTGTAAGTAATTTTCATGAAATATTGCTATTTTCTCAGAGCATAGCGCTTTAACTGACAACTTTTTGTATTCTTGCCTTTCCTTTAATCCTTTGTGAACAGTATTTTGGTTCTCATGTAGACTGTATTATTTGAATAATCATCCTATCCTAAAAGGTTTTAGACATTATTGTTCTGCTTATAGGTAACATGAAGGATGAATATCCTTCTCGCTTGTAAGGGTGTTTTTACGTTGTACCTGACTGAAACCATATCGCTTCCCTGCTAGATGCTCTCGAAAAGTTTCTATTATCAATAAATCCCAGCAACTGATGAACATTAATCACGAACATTTGTTAGTATTTTAGACAATCAAAGCACATTTTGTCGTTTTTTACTGTCACTTTTGAAGAATTTATCAACTTCAAAAATCGTCGACAGCTTCAAGATGAACCATCAGCCATTTTTGTTGTTGAGATATAAGAATAAATCTCCTAAATAAAACCACGTTATGCATTATGCATAACAAAATTTTTTTCCCGGTCCTAACAAATACTTTTTCTTATCGTATAAATACTTTAGAAATGTGTATGCCCTTTTATTTTTCAGATAGTCGATTTGTGCCTGAACTGTATCGGTTTGAATGACTAATTACATAAAACACTACCCAGCATAAGAAGTTGATTCCATAACTGATGTTAAACTGAAAATAATTAGACAAATAACTAAATGAATTTCCCATTGTACTTACTTGACAAACGTTTGGAAAAGAAAGTAAAAATGAAAGAAGTAAGAAGGTGATTGTCAAGCCTTCTCTGAAATACTTCTTTTTGTTAAGATTGAATATTGTACATTCATCACAAACTGCAGTTAAAAATGATTCGGTTGCACCAAGCTAAAAGTAAAGAAGAATAAAGCGAAGTATCTTTTCGAATAAAATTATCACAAAGTAAGGAGTTATAAAAAGGTAGAATCAGTGTCCACTCAATTATTCAGATTGACATTTTTGAGAAGATTACAATTCGACTTCATCAACCCACGTGACACCAACTTGCAAATCTACAGAAGCCGTGGATATAGACAGACTGTCAGAAGGTATTTTTCATTGTGTATAACGATCTGTTGGCATGAAAAGTTTGTTATAAGAGCACAAAATGAATTCGAAAAGATTTTATGATGGATCTTCACGATATGTTCTTTTTTAATTGAAGTTTGTAGCTATTTTGTGCAGGATGATCAACTCTGATTACCCTAAGCGTAAACGCAAAGTACTGTTTTAATATTATTTATCGAATATCTTTCTATCTTCGTTACATTTGTAAAGATGGCAATGCCTCTTACTGAGTAAAGGATCCCATAGGTACGCTAAACTACTTCAGATACTAATGGCACGTTATGAGGTGTCAGATAAGTCGTTTGCTTCGAGCGGTGTCCATTTTTTCGACTTTTATTTGACTTCATCACAGATGTACCGTTGAAAGTCTTTTTTAGTACAAGTTGACAGAGACCGATCTTATCAGATAAGATCTCTTAGTAAATTTAGATTACCCAGGCAGTACAGGAAATATGCTAGCAAACTGGACATTCTTCTTAAAGGGTCGACTGATGACTCTAGAATGTCTAAGATGTGTTTTCACCTTTGGGTTCGGGCTGAGTCAACATCTCATCTTGCAGTGGCTTTGAAGTTGTTGAAATACTTGACTGCTTCACTTACCTGGCAATTCACTCCAGCCTTGGTAGACCACCCACTGAAGAAACTTTAAGCACGGTTACAAACGTCCAGATTATCGTCAGCCAATTTACACCAGCTTTTCCGATAGAGAGATATCCGATTACTTAATTAAGGTCAAGCATAGTGGATATCAGTTTGCTTCTTCCCAATATATAGCCCTTAAACATGGTCATTCAAACTGCTTTCGAAAATTATTGCATTTGAAAGATTTGCTGTGTACCACGGAACCACTACGTCAGTAATGTAAATTTTTGGTATAGAGTCCCAAACTAAAGAGGAAAGTAAGTTGGCAAGACTGTAAACCTTAGGCAACTGATGTTGTAACGATAGATGTTAGGTATACCACTTCAGCGTCAACCTGGATGCTTAATACCGGTTGACGTGGGTTAGAGATAAAAAAACTTTACGGGTGGTTAGATTAAAATGCAGCATCAGTCGATCGTATGTCTAACTGCTCATCTAAGCCATATATTCTTTCAGTTTGGCGCTAACGAGATGGCTGAAACCGATCATTAGAAAACATTGGCGAGATGAGTCAGAATTGATAGTATTGAAGCAGGTATATCAACACGTAATCTGCATCCTTATCGCCGTTTCACATATCATTATGTTAATTATCAGTGGTTACCAAAACAATTCCTATTTTTATGCAGGGGAAATTCAGAAGCACCGAACTTTCATAGAGTAGATACCTTTGAGGAAACTATGAGCTCTGACACGTACATGAAGGTATGTTTGTGTGAGCAAAACTTGTGTACTTCTGCAGGTACCGTTACGATTCCAGTTTATAGTGTGTATATATGTGCAATAACATGCTACCTTTTATTTGTTTCGCCAGATATTAACTTTTTACCGTTATGTATGCGCGGCACAGTGGCTTCGTACTCACCTACTTTGTGGGGGAAAAAAGTCAAGTCAGTATGATCACAAGATGTTAGATAGTTGATCAATGAAAGAGGTGTTTGCATTGAAATTGCTGTTTTAACATCCCATGTTTAACCCTGACTTTATTTTATTTTAAAAAGGCTAACCTTGTCTGCTACCAGTAAATATTCAAAGTTGAACTCAGATGAACATTTGTATACCATATTTTTTTTGACTGAATATGATTTGCTTCTTCGCATAAGTCGATCCTTCTAGGCTGCTAATAATTCAATAGACCTTATGTTTTTATATATTCTGTCAGCAGACTGGCGAAATTAGTCCTAATTAGTGATGTATAGATCAAACCAGACTCTTGTTTAATAAATATACCTTCTCTTAGTATAAATATATCCCAGCAGTTATTGGACTTTTGTATCCGTCTTTAATCAGATGTTAGCTGGTTAAAATAATAACATTGGTTTGGACTGCATCAAGTAAAATTGTTTAGAATTCACTAACAGTCAGTATAAATGAATTTCAGTCGGTTAATCAAAGCTGTTTCTGATAGTTTACCAGCAAAGTTTGGTTTTTTCTATTCCCAGCGCTATAAATTAGAATATCTCGCCTATTAGGAATGTATTAAACTTTTTTTCACTTTAAACAAATTAATGCAAAAATTTTATCGCCAGAATTCCAGTCTTAAAAAATGCTTAACTTTTGAGTTATGTAACTTTTAAAGTCAACTTAAGTTTTGGGTATTCTTTTAAATAAATAAAGTGCTCGGAAGTGCATAATTTGAATTTGTCGCCTGCAGTGATGACGGCATGGCACTATGTAGGCATTTTCAAATTTTACTAACTTTGTTAGGCTGACAGTTACTCAAAGTAATTGAAATTTCTTCTTTACATCTGCTTACTCTTATCTTAACTGCAAATTTTTATTCTTTGCTAGTACTTCTAACTCTATGAATTATTTGTTTAGATTTTTCAAAATGAATAGGACCTCACAAGAGAATTAACTGAGCAAAGCTTTCGAATGAAGTGCAATGCAGATGAAAATAGCATCACGCCTAATGTGTATCACATATTCTAATTACTAAGAATAATTTATTTTCAACAAAATCTTGACTACATCATTATATCGCAATCATTGTACTCTACTAGTGTGTTGGTCATTGTGAAATTCGCCTTTTTCTACCCATTCACACTGTTTTCAATAAGTCCATTCCAAAGAAACAGTTTTAAGATTTATCTCAACTTTAAGGACTTTTATGGGCATTCTTGAAAACGCTTCTGTTTTAATGTCCTAATTATAAGATTGAATTTATAGGAATAAACGTTTTTCGTGATTCACCGTTTTTTTAAATCTTACTGTATAAAACTATCACTTGTCTCTTCTAAATGATTGTTTTTATATTAAAGCTTTTCTTTTGCAGTGTTATACAAGCATATGAAGGTAAATGTATTGTACCTTGTTATCAGGAAAATGAGACTTACAGAACTACCCAAACCTAAGGTAACCAGCATGCTGAATAACAGTATGCACCAAAGATGTGGAACAGACAACGTACTGAATACACTGGTGTATGCCATGAATATGAGACCCAAGTCTGTGAGGGTGAAAACAGTGGACGTATTTATTATGAGGGAGGAGTATAAAATATATCAGAAGAATAGTGTTGTATAACAGAGAAGTACGGTAACTACTGAATTTATATCTATACACATACAAAACATTATGAAGCAGATTTCATATTTCCAGCTCGTTTTATTCCTTGCAAGGCTCTGACGTCTGAGATTTTGATGATTTTCCATTTTTACAATTATTCCTACAAACCAAACTTACTGTTATTTGTGAATGTGTTGCTTTACTGTTTTTCTTCATTTATTTTTCACCACTGTGAATTTATAATTCATCCCTGTGTCAGAGTATTCTTTGAACGATAATGAATGAAACACAGCAATGGTACCCATATCTGGCATCCTGACTGAACATCATAGGAATGGTGTAAACTTTATGCCCGCAAATAGGCGGTGCCCACTTTAAAATTCAAACTGATTTTTTAAAGAAATTGTTAAGTTTCACTTTAAACTGAGGTCAGAATTATTCTGTCAAACCTTCCAATTCAATAATTTTGACTAAAGGTCAACTACAATGTATGGTGTATAGTTAGTTTACAGGCTGATGAAGCCTGTAGACATCGATAATGACTGATTCCAGTTTCTTTTCACTTTGAAACGTGCAAATGTTGACGTCTCTTATGCATCTCGAAATATAAGAATTTTGTCTTTGGCGTCATTTTATTCAATTCTCGGCTGTTTATGTGTTTTCTGTCATTAGCTGTCGTTTGACTCTACTCTCAGATAAGAACAACGACAGCTTGTGCATAGAGGGTAGACAGCATGAGATGAGATCTTTCTATAAGCCTGAAAGTATCCTTACCAACCCTGGACTAGATGGTATGAAAACACTTGAGCACCGAGTTAGTATGACTCATCGCGTTTGAAAGGCCTTAAAACGAAACAGCCATCCGGAAAAGCTACTAAAAACGGTAGAAAAAAGACATGGAAAGATCAAGCACTACAGCACTTCCGTATCGGTCATCCAAACCAAAGAGGATAAGAAATACGTTAACAGCTACGACATAAGAGAATTCATAAGGTGACTAAAACATTACACTCACATCTATGTAAATTAAAAGATCCAAATGCATACCTGGAGCAGCAGAAGTGTATTTATAAGGTAGACTTTGCAGTGAACCCGGTGCCATATAATAATTTCTTAATTCATTTCAGTGAAACCTCGCCTGGTTAAATAGTCCACTAGTTACTAGCCGGTCGCAAGCCCCCACAAACAGGGAAATTGGACACACGGCTAGCAACTCCACCCCGTAAAACAAATATAACCACTAAACAAACTTCAAAGCACAAACAAAATATAAATAATAAAAACAAAATCATTCCTCGCTGCAATCGGAGAGGCGAAATGACGCCAGTTGGTGAAAGCCTTCGGGAAGCCAATTGGCCGGGCCGATGTGTCTTCTCTCCTCTCGATGAAAGCGAAAGTGTGGATGGAGACATGGAATGTCCACACTATGTTTGAATCTACCAAGGCTGCCCAGATGGCAAGAGAGATGAGAAGGTATCACATTGAAGTGCTTAGAATTTGCGAAAGCAGATGGAATGGGAGTGGACTCTCCAAACTGTCAACTGGAGAATCAATAATCTTCTCCAATATTGTCACTCAGACGACAACCAATAGCACACTGAGTTTTCCAGTGGCTATCATGATGTCCGCAAGCGCATCGAAGGCTCTCTCTCTCTAATATGGTGGGAAACAATCTCCTCCAAGATCAGGGTCATGACAGCAAGGTTCAACTGAGAAGGAAGGAAGGAAGGTCACAATCATTCAATGCTACACCGCGCACCTACAAATAATGCAGAGCAAGAGAAGAAGGAGGGATTCCATAGACAACTGCAATCAACACTGGAGAAGACCCCGAACCAGTTGGCGATTTCAAAATTCTACTGGGTGGGGTGACATGAATGCCAAACTGGGAGGGGGTAACACTGGAAGAGGAATAACCATGTGCCGAGAAGCGCTCGGTGAGGTGATGAGCGAGAATGGAGAATTGTTTGTAGACATCTACGCATTCAATGATTTGTTGATTGGAGGCAGTGTGTTTAAGCACAAGGATATACACAAAGGGAAAGGGATTTCAGCGAATTGACACACCATACAAAAACCAGATCGAATTTATCTCAATGTGAAGAAAGTGGAGACGCAGCCTAATTGACACAACGTCAAGAGGAGGAGCAGATGTAGGTTCACTCAACTGACTATCCAATGCAAGGAACCTTCCAAATCAAGTTAAAACCTTCAAGAAAGCTGGTGATAGACCACAGTTCGAGTACAATAGCCAGAACAGAAAGTGAAGGACGAAACTAGGAAGGAAATCTTCACGGCAGCCAGCCTTCAAGACAAAATGGGAGATATCGAGCAGCATCCCTGAAGAAACCTGTATGGAAGAAGACTGGAGGTCTTTGAAAGAGGTGCGGAAAGAAACCTGCACAACCGTATAAGGGAGGAAGAAGAAACAGACAAGACAAGACAAGACAAGAGAAGACAATGAATGGATATCGATGAATACATGGAAGCTGATAGAGCGAGCATGGAGAGGAAGATGGTGATGATGGTGATGTTGATGGTGATGGTGAAGCAGAAGATGAACCAGTGCAGTGCAAGGATGCACAACGACAAGGGGAACTGAGTGCAATGTATAAAACACTACACTGGACAAAGAAGTGAAGAAGAGTGCACGCAAAGAGAAAGGACACTTCAACGACACACTGGCAAGTGAAGCAGAACGCAGTGCAGGCTGCAGGTAGGAGAGACAGAGACCTGACAACATTGTTTCAAATAACCAGGTTACTATCTGAGAGGGAAGAGATCAACACAGATGAAATCAATGAAAGATGATGGAGGAAATATAATTACCAAAGAAGAGAAAGAAAGGGAACGATGGGCTGACTGCTTCAAGAAACTCTTCAATCCACCACGATCACCACCTGCACTTCGTCCAAAAATACCACCTGCAGCCCAGACACAGAACTACAAGTGAACATGAATCCTCCGACAAAAGTGGAAGTCCTGAATGCAACGCCAACAAGCTACTGAAATGCACTAAAGCAGGTGGACCAGATGGAATCCCACCAGATTCACTGAGAACAGACGCAGAGACAACAGCGGACATGCTCACACCACACCACTATTGCAGAAGGTGTGGAAGGAAGGGAAGGTACCTGCTGGTGGATTGGAAGTAGGGCTACCCTGTCAAACTGCCGAAGAAGGGAGACCTCAATGTTTGCATGAACTGGTGAGGAATCACTCTCCTGTCCACCTCAAGCATAATATTATTCCACATCATCCTGGAGAGACTAGAGGATACATCGGATTCAAAACTACGACCAGAACAGGCTGGCTGGCTGGCTGACTTCATCAAGTACAAATCATTTGCGGACCAAAGTGCAACGCTGCGCTTCACATCATCATATAACAGAGTATAGAATGGCAGTCAACTCTACACCTTACCTCAACTTCATCGACTTTGAGAAGGCCTTTGACAACGTCGACCGACAAGTAATTTGGCAACTACCTCAACACTACGGAATACCACAAACCTTTATCAATCTCATTCAACAACTATATGAAGATGCCACATGGCAAGTAATTCACAATGGGAAGCTCAGTGATACTTTTGAAGTAGAGACGGGAAGGAGTGAAACAAGGCTGCCACCCACTGTCACCCATGACATTCCTAATTGTCGTCGGCTGAATATGGCAACGAACAGTGAGGACAGAATAATAAGAATGAGCAACAAAGAACTGTGGCTGGCTGCCTGGCTGGCAATGAAGAAACCAAGAAGATATCGGTGAACAAATATGCAGAAGAAAGTGTAAGTGTAGATGAATTGGGATAGGCATACACTGAGAAGGCTGACTGTGGACATCATGTGACAGGACAGGCCAAGTACTCGAGTGGAACCTAGATGTGAAGCGACGAGTTGGGTGTTTGAGGTGACGGTGACATGGAGGAGATGTTGCGAGGAGGAAATGAGAGGTTGTGGGCTGTCGTGAAGCCAGGTTGCAAAGATTTCAGAGAACAGAGCATATTGGAGACGTGCTACTGAAGCCTTATATTCCATCAGGTACCCAAGAGACAAATAATAATCATCTTAGCGACGCATGCTTCATTGAGCCATGAAAATGTAGACAGAAATATATCATGTATATACTATTTTCATGTATCTTAAAATGTCGTATGAGAAAGACTAATTTAGTTACATTGGTCAGTTCACTGGAAGTTCACCTCATTCCTTAAGGTTCCAGTAGCCACACAGCAGCACAGATATAAAAGAAAAGGTTATAAATGCAATCCTAGTCAGCAGGGATTTAAGCTGTTTACTTCTGATTTGACTGCTTCCTATACTAATATTTGTAGCTGATATCTTTATACGTGTTTATTTATGCGTTTCATCAAGATGAGCTCTTAACTCAACACTTCAGAGGAAGTTGTATATAGTAATTAATTATCACCAAAATGAGAAATTAGCAGCTCACATGCACGTAACAATCAACAGAGTTGGCAAACATCTGGTTGTGGTGACGTTGTTGAAATATAGGAGCATTTTCCCTTGTTAATCATTACAGTGACTTGTTTGTAACTAAATATCTATCCTCGCCTCAAAAGATGGAGTTCTTCATGTGTACTGAATAGGGAAATCATCAAATTAAAGTATTTTCTGTGGGAAAATAAACCTAGTTGTGAATTTCTACCACTTCACAGTTGATAAATAAGGTCACTGTCATATAAAACACACAGAGGTCATGTATATTGCAGTTTAACTTGAACGTAATTGATGAAGATTTATAACTTTTCAAAACAGCAAGTAAACACATTTCGTGATCCATATTGACGGTAGTCACAAAAGTTCTACTGATGGTTCGATTGTTTAATGAATAGTAGTATGCGCACACAACATTTTGTGTGAATGAGTTACTGCTAACAACGGAATATCAATACTTGCTTCACACTATAATAAAGACATACTCAATATAAGAAATCTGAATAAAGCCATAGACCTTTCTGGACTACTTCGTAGAAAATGATTATTGACTGACTGAATTTAGGAAAAGACGACAGATTACATAAGATTTCAAGGCAATTGTCTCAGGCTTCGTCAGAGGAGCACATCAGCTATTTGCTCAGAGGATGTTATAAAGGAAGAGTGAGCCACCATCCGTGATCTCCTCAGTAGGAATGGCTATCCAGACAAGTTTGTAACTAAGCACATGAATATTACGAGGGTTAAGACAACAATGCCAACACTTCCTAAGAAGCAAGTCTTCTTGAAACTGCAATTTAAGAGTAACATCGCCAGTGAGATCATCACACAACGCATAAAACGAGTCTTGCATAATGCATTCCCAGCAGCTAAATTATATCCCATCTTCCACAACCACCCGATTCTAGGTGCAAGGAATAAAGACAAACTGCCTGATTCCGACACTTCATGTGCATTTATCAATTCAGCTGCTCCACTGGAGCTAGCTAGTTACGTTGGGTACAATCAGGTAGGTTCATCGTCGAATTTCTGAGCACCACCCATCACGCTTGAACAAGGGACAAATTAGAACTATAAAGAGCTCCATACTTGCACACCTAGTTGACACGGGATATCAAGTAGATACTGGAAAAGCTTTCAAAATTATTCATCATATTCCAGTTGATTTACCACATGGATTATGCACTCACTCATTTCACACACCAGAGGTGATCGTAAATCACCCAACCTTTGTATTCAAACGAAGTTTGTTCAACCACTTTCATTACCGTTGCCGTCAACATGATGTAACTTCTAGGTTTACTTTGTACACCTCTTCCCCTTCTTGTTTCTATCAATATTCATGTTTCCAATTTTAGTAACTCTATTGATTATTTACATAATTATTTCTGAAACATGACCACGTGATTGGTGATTTGATTAAATTGTAAACCTATGTGTTAGTGTAGTGTGACATGGAGGAGATGGTGGGGGGTGGAAATGAGATGTTGTGGGCTGTCATGGAGTCAGGTTGCAAAGATTTCAGAGAACAGAGCATATTGGAGACATGCTCCTGAAGCCTTATATTCAATTAGGAACCCAAGTGACAAATAATAATAATATATTAGTGTAGAGGTCAAGATGAAGACCTAATTGAAAAGGAATATATTTCTTCTCTTAATCAGTCTTTTTCTAAATAATGAGAAGTTTTGGTTTTTATGTCTGGTAAATACAAGTTTCATACGGACATCTATGTATGCAGCTAATTAAGAAACAAGTTTATTCATTTTCATCGATAAAAATCGTAGTTTTAGTAAAATAGTTGACTGCGCACACATTTCAGCAACATATGAGTTGGGAGGATTACATTTCCCCTATATCATTCTTTTCTTTACTTACAAGCTTCTTTCAGTGCGAATTCCATTAAGATATCATCAGGAAAAAATTTGCATCATTGTGAGATACGGAAAAACCAAGCCATAAAAATTGGATAAATACTATAATACTTCCTTATCGAAAATCCACACCGGGAGAAATAAGACATATCTTTAACAGTTGCGTCATCAGGGTATTCTTTAAGATGATGAGTACACGACACACCTGTGTAAATTAAAAGGTCCGACTGCCCATTTGTAGCAACAGAACTGCATTTATAAGGCAGACTTTGTAGTGAATGCGACGCTACACACACTGGAGAGACATTACGTCAAATACTAACATGTCTAACCGAACACGGTCAAAGTTGTAAGTAACCACTTGAAAATTCCTATGATCTGGAAAAACTTAAAAAACACTGCCATCGTGGTTCATGCCTTATATTCAAGTCATAAAATATCATTCGAAAAGGCAAAAGTCCTGCAAATGCGTTTTCTTTCTCACAAAAAGAGGGTTATTAGAGAAGAACTGCAAGTCTTTTCGTACCCTTCTTAGGTCAGCAGAAAAGATGAGTTAGACATCCCACAAATATGGTAAACATTAATGACGCGCATAGACAGTTGCAAACAATATACGAAGAGAAGGTAGAACACAACTTCATTTCACTGTATTTCAAGTGATTTATTCAGAATTTATTCTTGTTTGAATAGCTTCCGGTGTTATTTCGCTTAGTAGTCTTAACCACGTCAAAAAATATTGGTTGTATTGTCACAACTTATCTAATCCGATTACTTAATACTTTATTGATCTATTGTTTTCATCAGTTTTACGTTCTCACCACCTTCTGTACCAAAACTTGAATATTAACCTGAGAACTTAATGTCAGATTCATACTCTTGAAAAGAATCTTGTTAGCAAGATCGAAACGTTGAGAAATAATGGAAAATATTTGTTTATTTTGTTATTTATTCTAAAATACTATACCGGGATTATACAGATTAAAATACACCTTTCTATAAGCTCTTTACAATTGTTATCTAATCATTTAATTAATTAGAAATCAGAAACTCACTTCCATCAAATGTTTGATAGATTGGAATATTTTGAAATTGTGATAAATAACCCATGAATGAATACAGTGTTATACTATTCAACAGACTGATGGCAGCATTCATAAAGGTTGTTAAAATGCAATCAACATAAGCGGGATGATTAACTTTATTGTAACTTCCATAAGCCAGATGTACACCAAAACCCACACCCAACGAGAAGAAGGCTTGACTAGATGCTGAAAACCATACCTGAATGAAAAAATTGAAGGAAATATTGCATTAAAACAGCAAACATTCTGTACTCATCAAGAGTTTAAATGCCAAGAAAGATTTGTGAAAGAAGTGAGAGCTCTGAATGCTATAAAACTATCTCAAACCAGTTTGAAACCTTAAACTATTATTCACTAAGTAGGAGGAATTGAATAAAACAGGTAACCGATCATAATACATTTTAAACACACCAACTGAATGACGCATTCCTGGTCTTCTGGATTATTAATCGCATCTCTGAACAATTACTGAATTTCAACATTCCGAAGTTAAACGTTGAGTGAGAAAAATGAAAAGCATTACAATATTGTGCACTGAGACGTTTAAAATATACACAATCATATAGTGATGAGAGATGTTCACAGCAGAATTGGGTAGACTGCAAAAATATCTGGATTGTAAGGGTTCCTGTCCAATGGATGACAAAGATAAGTCAAATCTTCATCTCATGCAGAAATAAATTGACAAACACATTATAGACTATCACAATAAATAATGATGGATCGTGGCTAGCAGTGGAATCCAGGATGCGCAATTCCTCCTATTTGGGACTCGTCAGCTGGATGTACCTGCTTCCAGTGAGTGACGAAATGCGCATTCTGAATTCCACTGCTGGCCACGATCCATCATTACTACCATAAGAGCACAGGTTATATCGAGGCATCCTCACATGATCCCAGATGCTAATAGAGACCGATCAGTTCGGTCCAGTCAGTGACGGCATAATATAAAAACAATTACACTCATTTCAAAATAAAAAGTTTATATTAAAGAATGTCAAAAATCCCTATTGTCAAAATTACAAGCAAGTATATAAGCGAACAATATTGTTTTCAACTAGCCTTCATCATGCTAATAAACAAATATTGTCATATATGAAACGCTTAAACAATCATGGTAGATTCTCTACATTGTGGTAACAACAAAATGAAACATGCATATAGTAAACATTCGGATAATAATAACTATGCGTAACAGATATTCTAACAAACATAAGCGTGTTGGAAATGAGAGATTAGAACGTTTAGTATGGAATACTGATCCCAGCTTCTTCAGCGAAATGATCAAAATCCACATTATCATAGATATATATTACAGGCCAAACATCGTGTAGTTCATCTCATTCTCCAATCGTGACTGGATCACGACTGTTTTTCAATAGGGTTATGAATCATTCACACCATGGGACAGAGATTCATACGATGCGTGAATGTAAGCCGGTGTGCGTGGGTGTTATATTTCTGATATCGATTAATACAAATTAATAGAGGTCATGCGTTCCATTGTCATAGATTGTAATTCCATTTTAGACTGTTTACTAGAAATGTCACACACAGTGAAGTGACAGTATCATTTACTGGATAATTTTTCGGACATAGTCTATTGTCCATATTCATATCAGGCGATATGATACTGTTTACCTGTGTGATATTTCTAATAAACAGACTAAAATGGAGAGGTCATATGTGTCATAATTGTCAATGCATGAAGAATATGTACTTGTTGTAAGTCTGTGGTACACAGTGTGTCATTTTTATTTATGTATAAAAACAGAATGAATTGATAACGATACGACTTGTATTTCTGTTTTCTTTATTAATGATGGGAATTACCTAACAACGGGATCCAGGATGCACGTTTTATCCTATTTGGGATTCGTCAGCTGGATGTACTTGCACCTCAGTTAGTGATGTTGTTCCTATCAAAAGTCGAACTCGAGAGCTATCGCTTCTAACGCCAGAGCGTTATCCACTAGATCACCGCACAAGAGCCCATATGCCAATAGAGACCGATCAATTCGGTTCAATCAATGTCTGTTTCCTTAGTTTCTTGTTCACTGTAAATGACAGTAATAATAATAATAATAATAATAATAATAATAATAATAACAATAATGAAAAATATGGATGCAACTGATAGCACATTGTTTATTGTAGATGATGATGATGATGATAACAGCTATCTCAGATAGTTAAAATGATGATTTGCATGATGATGACAATTTACTGCAAATAGAAACAGACTGATTGAGCGAAGAAATATATTCCTTTTCAATTAGGTCTTCATTTTGGCCTCTATACTATTATATAGGTTTACAATTTAATCAAATTACCAATCACGTGGTGATGTTACGGAAATAATGATGTAAATATGTTTAGTAATGATGGGCAATGGCTAGCAGTGGAATCCAGGATGCGCATAGTTACAAGACGGGCAATATCGAGGCATTCGCATAGGAGCCCATATGCCAACAGAGACTGATCAATTCGGTCCAATCAACGACGGTGTAATACAAGCGATAACACTAAATGATGTAAATAGTCAATAGAGTTACTAAAATTGGAAACATGAATATTGATAGAAACAGGAAGGGGAAGAGGTGTACAAAGTAAACCTAGAAGTTACATCATGTTGACGGCAACGGTAATGAAAGTGGTTGAACAAACTTCGTTTGAATACAAAGGTTGGGTGATTTACGATCACCTCTGGTGTGTGAAATGAGCAAGTGCATAATCCATGTGGTAAATCAACTGGAATATGATGAATAATTTTGAAAGCTTCTTTAGCATCTACTTGATATCCCGTGTCAACTAGGTGTGCAAGTATGGAGCTCTTTATAGTTCTAATTTGTCCCTTGTTCAAGCATGATGCGTGGTGCTCAGAAATTCGACGATGAACCTACCTGATTGTACCCAACGTAACTAGCTAGCTCCAGTGGAGCAGCTGAATTGATAAATGCACATGAAAGTGTCGGAATCAGGCAGTTTGTCTTTATTCCTTGCACCTAGAATCGGGTGGTTGTGGAAGATGGGATATAATTTAGCTGCTGGGAATGCATTATGCAAGACTCGTTTTATGCGTTGTGTGATGATCTCACTGGCGATGTTACTCTTAAATTGCAGTTTCAAGAAGACTTGCTTCTTAGGAAGTGTTGGCATTGTTGTCTTAACCCTCGTAATATTCATGTGCTTAGTTACAAACTTGTCTGGGTAGCCATTCCTACTGAGGAGATCACGGATGGTGGCTTACTCTTGCTTTATAACATCCTATCAGCAAATAGCTGAGTCACGGTATACTAAGCATTTCACTAAGTTCTTTTTGTATTGGATGGGTACAGCACTAAAGAAGTGTGCATATTGAGTTGTTTATGTTGGCTTTCTATAAACACTTCGCTTCAGGGTTCCATCCGACCTTCTTACGAGCAGGTCAAAAAATGGGATACTATCATTTTTCTCCTCTTTCATTGTGAAGTTGATTACCAGGTGAACACTTTTGAACTTATTCAGAGCAGCATTCTTATCAGTCTCACTATAAATGTATCATCCATGTAACGATAATATAACTCTAAACGATTAGTAGTATGATTCAGTGGACCATTTTCAAGTTTGGCCAGAAAAAAATACGTTAAGAGCTGGCCAAGGGGTGACATTATGGCAACTCCATCAGATCGTGCATTCGTCGTACACCTCAGAAGTAGTTCTTTCAATCTGCAGACTGGAATACCTATTTCCATGCGTGCTTCGTGAGTTCGTTGCAAATAAAGTCTACTGTCTCCACTAAAGGGACGTTAGTAAAAAAAGATGAAACGTCACACGAAATCATTAACGTATTATCTACTTTGAGATCCTCAATCTTTCTGATATGAGAGTATGTTAATTTTTGTTTTGCTTCCTTTACTTTTATTTTCTGATTATTATTTACCATGCAGTAGCCAACTGAATTTTTTCTGATCGATCCAAGCTGTTGGGATTAGTCTATCTCATTAAAAGAGCAAATCTTCTAGTGACATTGGAAGAAGACAAAAGCAATGAGCTGAAGTTAATTTGATCTACACTTAAAGCAACTAACTATTCTGATAGATTTGCTAAAAGAATCTCGGAAAACAAAGCGTTCGACATGAAACCTGAAGGTCCTGAGTTCGATCCCTAGCCCGGTCGTGGGTGCTTAATGCTGAGAAGTCTCATACTAGGACGAAACAGCTGTCCAGTGCTCCCAAGTTTTCAATGGTTCCCAACTAAATGTCAGTCCATGATAAATACTACTTCTAAATTAAAATCCACACTTATCTCAAAAATAATCTATGTTCTACTTTGCTGAAGGTCAAAAATGTAATATCGACGGAAAACCAACAGAATTGTCTGTGAAGTAAGCTGCTCGGATTGTGATGCTGTATATGTAGGGGAAACATTCAGGCAGGTGGATGTAAAGGTAAGGGAATACAGACAGCGTTTGAAGCAAATTACAAAGACCTCATTAAACGTTCATAGATTGGAGAATAGATCACCTAATCATCATTTTGGAATATCTGAGATAGCCGTTATCATCATATACAATAAACAATATGCTATCACCTTCATACATATTTCTCATTATTAATATTATAATCCAGCTGACGAGTCCCAAATGGGAGGAAATGCATACCATCGATTCCACTGTTAGCCACAATTTATCATTACTAAGTATGAACATAATCAGTATTATTTTTATGATTGTTATCATTTACTACTTGACCAAGACACAAAGAAAACAGATATACAAGTCGTATCGTTATCAATTCATTCTGTTTTTATACATAAATAAAAATGACACACTGTGTACCACAGACTTACAACAAGTACATATTCTTCATGCATTGACAATTATGACACATATGACCTCTCCATTTTAGTCTGTTTATTAGAAATATCACACAGGTAAACAGTATCATATCGCCTGATATGAATATGGACAATAGACTATGTCCGAAAAATTATCCAGTAAATGATACTGTCACTTCACTGTGTGTGACATTTCTAGTAAACAGTCTAAAATGGAATTACAATCTATGACAATGGAACGCATGACCTCTATTAATTTGTATTAATCGATATCAGAAATATAACACCCACGCACACCGGCTTACATTCACGCATCGTATGAATCTCTGTCCCATGGTGTGAATGATTCATAACCCTATTGAAAAACAGTCGTGATCCAGT